GTGTGTAAAGACCTACATATAAATGAAATGGCGGCCTCGACACATACCACAGTCTGCCATCCCCATGCATCATTGACGTATGCATATATATAGATATATATATATATACTCGTCATATATATATAGCGATATTGCTGGGGGTATCTGTGGGTGTGTTGTCTGTCTGCACATACATTCACTTACCTGACGCATTTTTCCGAGTGTTGCAAACGATTTGCTCGTTTCGCATCTTTGGCCTTTGCTGTGCTCTTGCTAGCCTTTCTATATATATACCCTGTATATGTGGGTCGTGTAGAGAATATAGAGAGCAAACACATATTGCTTTCACTATAGAACAAATTGTGAATATTATTCAATTAAGATTAATCGCATTTCTTTGATTTACTTTGATTTACGCTCAGTTCTTGTTCTACGTACATTACAGGGTATTTCGTAGTCATGGGTGTGCAGCAGCTTTGCGGTTGTCTTTTCCGTACAGTTTTATTTATTTACTTTGCCATTTGTATACATCAATTGGAAAAATGACTGTGCTATGAATTATATCGATATATATATGTACATATGTATGTATATATATATTACTGTTTCAGCAAGAATCCATCAATTAAGTAAACAAGTTATAGTTGTTCTAGCCTTAGTTCATATGAAAATTATCACTAATTATCGACTGTAGCTTGTAGAGCTGGCAAATGCTAGTTATCGATTATTATTGAACAGCTAACGATTATCGATTGGCAATTGTGGATTGTGACAGTTTATTACCAGCTAACTAATAGAAATCGATGATCGTTTATCGATTTATTCTGCATATTTTACACTCGATTACATTGCTTTTTACATAGATAGTGTGCTATCGGTTATCGATTGTTAGTGAATCATAGAATAAATTGGCTAGCTCTGCTTTACTACGACAATGTACTCTCGTTTGCCGCTCATCAACTATCGATTACCGATAGATGCTCCCCTTCTTAGAGGGGATATCTATTTTAACTCGGACAATTCGATTTGATCCGACCTAAACGCTGCAACGCCAATTCACAGAATTTTATTTTTGTACTCTGTATTTACACAGAACAAATGGCGAAGAGCGCAAAAACATATCGAAAGTCATTTATAAAACCAAACAAGAAATAGCTCATTTCCAGCTAAGCGAAACACGCAGTCGCACGAAATGAGAATGAAACAAAATAAAAATGCAAATGCAAATGAGAAGGAGAAATATAAATACAGACACAAGTGATGTCAAACACGAGGAAATGCCAAAAATTCCTAGCACGAACGTCATCAAATGTTCGAATTTCTCAAACTGAAATTGCAACGAGCTGCGAATGAGCTTCACTCACCGAATGGGATTGGGAGTGGGAGTGGGAGTGGAACACGCTCATGGCTAATCATATGCTCAAGTCTATAATATAGAATGAAATAAGTCGGGTCAGCTCGCTTGATTGATGGGTCAATGGCGTGTGGCAAATTGTTTATTTCTTTGTTAGCGAATAATAGACTCGAGCATAGACTCCGCTTAAGCTGATCTCTTGCAAATATTGACTATGAAAGCTACTCGTTGGATAGAGTAGCTACTCGTTGGCTAGAGAGTAGCTGGCTACTCGTTGGCTAGAGAGTAGCTGGCT